AGCAGATGGCCCCGCCCCTCCCTGAGCCTGGTTCTGCTGGAGGTTTCTTCCTGTTAAAAGGGAGTTTTTCCTTCCCACTGTTGCCAAAGTGCTGCTCATAGGGGGTCATGTGATTGTTGGGTTTTTCTCTGTCTTCTTTGTATCATTTTAGGGTTTTTACCTTACAATATAAAGCACCTCGTGCACTACTGCTGCTACTATATACACATGCACAAAAACGGATGGATTCCTTACAGAAGCTGCTGGCACTGGGAGCCCTTCCCCCGCTATAGAATACAATGAGTGTTTGTCTTTTTCCGCTAACAATCCCTGCATTATTAATGCTATGGTGCATGTCTGATTCTAGGTTTTTATAAGACTTTGCATTTAATCTTGTACAAATGCCTTAATTGACTTTGTGTGTGTGTGTATTTGTGTCGGTACGTTTTGTACAGTAAAATGGAACCTTTTGTGTTTTGTGCCTGAATGCGCACTGTCTACTGACGCTTTGTGTGCATCTATGTGGGTGTATCTCTTTGTGCCAAAGTGGGTGGGAGGCTGAACAGGCTTGTAGGACTAAAAATAGAATGCTCTCCAGCTCCCTGCCTCTTTGGACTGAGCGAGTGGCACAGCAATAAAGAAAAAGGGAGAAAATGGACAGATCAAACATAGGAGGAGAGTCTACCGTGGCGTCACTTCCTTATCAAAGCACGGCTTATAAAGAGATACATTCTCAGTAGGAAGTAGTTATTCCAATAAACTCTATAGGACCTGGCTTCTTGGTCCAAAACTGGAGTCAGTATTGAAGTGCTCTTGAATTTTTACCTGCTGTTTGTGACAAACCTCAGGTTTTATAATCAGCAAATGTATTTGCACCATATATTAAGAGTCAGATGTGATGATACTTTCTAGCACAGCTAGATAAACATCACTGAAATTAAGATATCGAATGTAAGGGCTCTGTGAACTGGAAAGAAGTCAGTTTTGCCGTCTGCTAATTTGTGCAGCAAGTGTGCTGGAATATTAAGGAATAAATCATAATATCATAGAAATGACAAAACGATCGGTGCAATGGGCAGGAGTTTGCCCATTGGTCAGATAAGCTGTGCACCTTTCTTGCTACATTTTATTATAACTTCTAATGAAGGTGTATTGTCCCCGCTCTGTTGGCTTACTTTTCAAGTAGTTTTGAACTAAGACTGTGTTGCTATAGTAACAAAGAGTTTTAAAAGAATCAAGTTTAAAAGTAGGACTGCATATGTCTGCCACTTTTTAGCATCCCTCTTCTGTTTTTCTTCTTCACCCCCTGTCCGTGCTGTCTTTGAAGATAATCGTTTTAGTACATCCCTCAGTGCATAAAGTAAAAACTTCCAAGGATCAGTGCATTTCCCAAAATCGGTGACCAGAAGACTGCAAAACGAGAATCTGCATATGCTGCTGACCTTACATCTGGATAACTGTGGCAGCCTGAACTCTTTCTTAAGGTCAAACACCAGTTTTTCACAGAGCATGTTTACAAATGCTGTAATAGTCGGAGCATGCGGAGTCACCCAGTTGGTGAAGAGTTAAATAACTCGCTTCTTTATTCATGAGCAAATTGTTTAATGTTGCTCCAACTTCTGCATCATATGAGCGGCCTACACACAGTTTTGTGTGTCCTCCACAGTAATGGGGGTTCAGTGAAGTTTGCTGTCTGTCACGAGTGGAGAATGACGTGCGCTGTTGCTTCAGGTAGCAGTCACATACACACACGGGCACAGGTAAAGCAGCTGTTGGTGTTTGGTTTTCGGGGTGTGCAGCATGCAGAAGCTGCTGCTCCTCGGGTTACATAAGAAGCAGACACGGTGGCTCTGTGCACGCCGCTGCTCCAGCTGCCCTCGCCTATCTCTTTAAATGAGACTGAGCCTCTCCGCTCTGCGTGTGTGCATGTGTGTGTGGAGGAGAAATTACGAGACAGAAAGGGCCACTGTAGGACTCGGCGATCGAAAACACAATAGACAAGCTCTTGTGCTTGGATGCGAACGACTTTGCAGAGGAGCCGAATGTGGTTTTCTGTCTATGGCGCATCTTTAGCTCGGCGATTGGACGCAGGACCAGCTCGTAATAATTATTTATTTCGCCCATTCTGCGCCGCACCGGTGGAAGAACCGTGATCGAGGCAGCGACAGCGACGTGCTGATCATGGATTAATGCCCGAGTGATTTTTCATCTACAAGGTAAACTGCGGAAAGGGCCGGCCGAGGGAAATGTGTCCGTGATCGCAGGGTGTAGGTGTGTGTGGCGGGGATGGATGGATGGCGTTACTTTATGGCAGCAGCATCCACGCCGCAGCTCCTCCGCGCACAGCGAGAAAGAGGAGACTGCAGGAAGAGGGTGATGTGGGTGAATGGCGGTGGATGTTTTAGTTCTTTGTGTGCACGGTGAGGCCTTCAGGAGCCGGAGCTGATCAACCGCATCGAGCTGCGTATTGTTAACAAACACAATGACGTCAACGTCTGTCAATGACGCACGCTCTTTCGTTCTTGTTTGTTTAACAGTGAAACAGGCTTTAGGAATCCATTTGGACTGCAATGTTTCCTTTGTGTTGCTGTTGTTCCCGGTTCCACCCATGATGCTCTGTCAGCTCTTCTTCATTCTCTGTGGGCCCGCTACGCGTTTCTGCGCTTCATATTTTAAAGGCTCCTTAAGTAGGTCAAATTGAGAAAAAGCAGTATGTTAGGAAAGCCTGCTACCAAGAGCTCGCTTCGAATTTAAATGTGTGGGACATCTTTTAATAATGCAGTTCAGGATGGTTGTTAGGTCATTCTTGGTAAAGGGCCACATCCTTTCAAATCCACACCCATGCAAGTTTTTCACTTGTGTATGTTATCGAATAAAACCATCAGTGGTATCATGAGGGTTCACCAGAAAACAGGTTGTTTCGAGATGGCAAATAGTGATATATTACACGTAGTGATATACAGCCCGTTTCAGGCTGGCGCTCATTTCCTTTAATCTGACAACAACTAAACCATTGCAGGCTTCACTGGGAGGGATTCTGCTGTTCAGGCAGGGGTCACTCCTGATGTGTCACATGACTTCATTCACACATAGCAACACAAAACAGTAGTTTTGTTAAGTTACGCTCATCGTTGATAGAAATGTTTTGGCTATATTGGTCTTTGAGTTGTTCTTTTTCTACAGTGAATGCTCAGCACACACTTTAGACAGCGCTTAAAAATGGTAATTATTTGGTTTTCTTTTCCCATAAAGGAACACAGGGCCAAAGATATACAAAAATCAACATGCAATAAGAATTTAGTGGCACTGATTCTACAATGTCTGCCTCCTGGTGAAGTTCTCTTACTTTTCTCTGCATGAACAAATGTGAAAAACAGAATTGTAGGTTTTTTACTCAGGTCAGCACGGTCTCAGTGTGAAGCTGCTATTAAAGAGTTGGAGGAGCCACTCGACAAAGGCCCAAACTGTCAGCCTCAGTGGAGAAGATGCTGGTTCAGATCCAGCCCAGAAACCAGTCTGCACATGCCAGGCATGAACTGGAAACATGTGTCACTTTCCACTGTCCATCAAGTTTTACATCACCATTAAATGAGAGGCTACCATCTAAAACTGACACTTTATAAAGTTTATAGGTGATCATGTGAACAAAGAAACGTCGTTTTTGAAGGGAAGCTTTATGGTGAGAATGTTTGAAGGAGTCGAGGTGAGTCGTTCAACCTGAAGAAAACTGTACCGGCTGCTAGGCATGATACATGCATCAGCAAGGCAGAAACACCTGCTGTGGAGCAAGGCATGCTAAAGTTGTGGAATAACCTTTCCAAAATGAAACTGGTTGTGTAGCTCACAAGGTTGAGCAAGCGAGCTATATGCCACAAAGGTAGGCTACAGCAGAGACCCGAGTTTTCCTTTCCTGTCCACTCTCAACTATTCTGTCGTAATAAAGGTTAAAAAAAACTAAACCCAACAGTACTTAAAAAAATCAAGTCTGTGCAGGGATTACAATCATTTAAACTGAACTAACATATCCAAAAACTCGGCTACTGAAAATGTATTTAAAGGGAAACTTACCAAAGGGACATTTGACCAGATCTAAGTTGTGCTTTAGAATAGAAGAATCCTCTAACTGTCCCACAGGGGGAAATGTGGTTGTAACAGCAGCAAAAAACACACGTAAACAAACAGAACAGAAGCACACACAGTCTTTACATATTTACATCATGGACAATAGTTACCAAAACAGAGTACTGTACCGTTATTAAAATTAAAGAACAGATACGTGGCAAACTCAGGTTGTGGTGTGCAGACAGAGCAGGATACTGAAAGATGTTTAAATAGTTAAGAATATTTAGAATAATTAGAAAAGTGCCGATTGTGTACTTTATGCATAGTTTTGACCCTGCATGTATCATTTTTCTATTCATTTAAAAGCAAGCAGACAAAAAACCCCAAATGCTGATGGCAGGTTTGTCATCATGTAGCTCGAGGAAAAGTCAACCCCTTCTTCAATTCATTGGCTTCTAGAATTGAATGTCAAATCATTCTCCTCACATAAACTCTCCTGAGTGGGTGCGCCCCACCAGAATATATATGTTATTACTATATTACCCAAACAGAGCTCTTAGAAGCTTGTACTTATAGTTTCTAGAGTTCACAAACGCGCAACGGGCAGCAGAGTTTTCAGCTGCCCGGCTCCTGTCCTGCTCCAACACGCCGTCTCTTAGTTGATCTAAAAATGCTGCTATTGGCTCATGCCGCATCGGGAACTTCCCACCATGACTTCTCTTTATACCTCCCAGGCTTTTACATGCAGCTGTTGAATGTGATTGATTACTCTCTGCCATCACTTTTTGGTGTTTTTTCCAGTTTGATCTTTATTTCTGGCGTCTCTTTTCCAAGTGCATGCAAACGGCTGGCTCTTCTTGAGCCCCATTCTACCTAAAAAACATCCGACCCTTTGGTGCTGCACCTCTTTTGCCTGCATTGGTCTTCTGGCTGCCCATGTTGTCACAACTTTCAGATTGTAGTGCTTTTACCAGAGTTTTTGATAATAACATCCTAACTTCATAACAAAAGGATTGCATTAGTCTATATACAGGGAGTGCAGAATTATTAGGCAAATGAGTATTTTGTCCACATCATCCTCTTCATGCATGTTGTCTTACTCCAAGCTGTATAGGCTCGAAAGCCTACTACCAATTAAGCATATTAGGTGATGTGCATCTCTGTAATGAGAAGGGGTGTGGTCTAATGACATCAACACCCTATATCAGGTGTGCATAATTATTAGGCAACTCCTTTCCTTTGGCAAAATGGGTCAAAAGAAGGACTTGACAGGCTCAGAAAAGTCAAAAATAGTGAGATATCTTGCAGAGGGATGCAGCAGTCTCAAAATTGCAAAGCTTCTGAAGCGTGATCATCGAACAATCAAGCGTTTCATTCAAAATAGTCAACAGGGTCGCAAGAAGCGTGTGGAAAAACCAAGGCGCAAAATAACTGCCCATGAACTGAGAAAAGTCAAGCGTGCAGCTGCCAAGATGCCACTTGCCACCAGTTTGGCCATATTTCAGAGCTGCAACATCACTGGAGTGCCCAAAAGCACAAGGTGTGCAATACTCAGAGACATGGCCAAGGTAAGAAAGGCTGAAAGACGACCACCACTGAACAAGACACACAAGCTGAAACGTCAAGACTGGGCCAAGAAATATCTCAAGACTGGTTTTTCTAAGGTTTTATGGACTGATGAAATGAGAGTGAGTCTTGATGGGCCAGATGGATGGGCCCGTGGCTGGATTGGTAAAGGGCAGAGAGCTCCAGTCCACTCAGACGCCAGCAAGGTGGAGGTGGAGTACTGGTTTGGGCTGGTATCATCAAAGATGAGCTTGTGGGGCCTTTTCGGGTTGAGGATGGAGTCAAGCTCAACTCCCAGTCCTACTGCCAGTTTCTGGAAGACACCTTCTTCAAGCAGTGGTACAGGAAGAAGTCTGCATCCTTCAAGAAAAACATGATTTTCATGCAGGACAATGCTCCATCACACGCGTCCAAGTACTCCACAGCGTGGCTGGCAAGAAAGGGTATAAAAGAAGAAAAACTAATGACATGGCCCCTTGTTCACCTGATCTGAACCCCATTGAGAACCTGTGGTCCATCATCAAATGTGAGATTTACAAGGAGGGAAAACAGTACACCTCTCTGAACAGTGTCTGGGAGGCTGTGGTTGCTGCTGCACGCAATGTTGATGGTGAACAGATCAAAACACTGACAGAATCCATGGATGGCAGGCTTTTGAGTGTCCTTGCAAAGAAAGGTGGCTATATTGGTCCTGATTTGTTTTTGTTTTGTTTTTGAATGTCAGAAATGTATATTTGTGAATGTGGAGATGTTATATTGGTTTCACTGGTAAAAATAAATAATTGAAATGGGTATATATTTGTTTTTTGTTAAGTTGCCTAATAATTATGCACAGTAATAGTCACCTGCACACACAGATATCCCCCTAAAATAGCTAAAACTAAAAACAAACTAAAAACTACTTCCAAAAACATTCAGCTTTGATATTAATGAGTTTTTTGGGTTCATTGAGAACATGGTTGTTGTTCAATAATAAAATTATTCCTCAAAAATACAACTTGCCTAATAATTCTGCACTCCCTGTATATCAACATGAGAGGAATGCAAACATACATATTTACATGGTGATGAAAGGTCTTAAGCCATTCATAGACCATCTGCCTTTGAATATGATCATGTGTATTCTTTTATATCGTAGGTTTTTTGATCCAAAGCAGAATTAGCACATCTGTTTCCTTCTCTTCATATTAAAAGGTGAACAGCTATCTACTCTGACCAGTTGGCAGCTCAGAGGAAAGTGAGAGATAGAGAGATGAGGACACAACGCAGAGTGGAGAGAGAAGATGCTGAACTCATATTTTATAGCTGTTCACCAAAGCTCTCAATATGTGGTGAAAAGAGACGTCAGTGCTAAGAAGGCCATCACAAGAAATACCAACCAAAACTGTTAGAGAAATTCATGCCAGGTCACCAATCTGACACAGTCTTAAGAAAAAGAAATGCACAAAGACCACAGAAGATAATCAAAGTGAATGATCTCACACTTCTTCCCTTGGATAAGAAAACTGTCTTTACAAAATCCCAGCCAGTAGCACTGATCCATGTCACCATCAAAGTCTACAATCAAGACATGTCTGCAAGAATGAAA